GGTGGGTAGTGGGTGGAGACAAGGGGGTCTCAGAAGGGGGGAGTACCTATTCTCTGATAAACAAAAGCCCTGCTATTACACTGATATATTGCTATGATACTGCTGATGTTATAAAGTGAAATTGTATGCTGTCACCATAGATCTCCTCTTTTAGTTTTAGATAACATTAGGAATGGTAAAACCCCTGTAAGGTTATTTTTTCCTGTCCGTGTCCCATTGAGGATATTTCCCTTCACTTTCTGATGAGGAGATGGGCTAGGAAATGAGAAATAATCACTACAAAGTGAAGGGAGCTCTTAGGCAATTGAACAAGTTATCTCTATTGGTAGTAAACACCTGACAGTGGTTGTAACCCTTCCTTACACCAGTTTTGGCTGTTTGCCATTTGGCTATTTAAACCCAACACCAAAAATGAAATATATCGCAACATACCAGTCCTTAGATGTGATGGCTGCATTTGTTTTCTTTTATTCAGGCTTTTTTACTTTTATTTTCTCCTGGTGATCCGACTAGTAACACACCTCCTGGGTTAGGGCAGGGGAGGACTGACCATTTGAAAACTCGGGCACTGCCCGAGGGCCCTGGGTCAGTAGGGGGCCCCATGAGATGGCCCTGGTACCTTTTTCATAGGCTTTTTTGAGTTTGGGCAAGGATACAGGGGCCCCATGATCCCCTATTGCCCGGGGGCCCCATGAGTTGTCAGTCCGCCTCTGGGTTTGGGTATCTCCATTCTGAATGGAGGAGCAACGGAGACACCCATGGACAGCAGCATTGTCAGTCTGTGGAGAGGGGGAGTGTTAGATGTACTAGCAGATTTGAAGAAGAACTCCAGGATAGGCAAAAAAAAAAACAATCACCCATTAGTACACCCCCTACACAAAATACTAAACAGTTCATAACATTTTAGAAATCATTACCATTGAGGGAAAAAGTGTAATTGAATTTTCATCTCTGTAAAAGATAATGGTGTCTGCATTGCCAAGGAGGTGTTGTAACAGCCAGGATTACATCATATCCTCTCCTCTCTCTCTGCAGTAAAAGGAAACTACAGTTCCCATCAACCACAGGGAATTGTAGTGAATGTGGGCGGGTACACTAGGCCTGTACATGTTGAATGTGTCTGAGAGTCTCGATCCGCCCACCAATGCAAGTGGGGCTGAATGACATCACTGCTTCCTGGAGAAAGAACTACAGAAGGGATGAGCCAAGACCCGTGGCTGGGGGAATAGGAGGTATAGCAGCCACTGGTCTTACAAAGAGAATGAATGGTTTGATTTGAAAATGAATAGGCTATTTCAGAGCAACTACTGAGTGAACCAGAAGATGGATGACATATTCAGTGATGGTAGGAAATCAGCAACAAGGACATGTAAATAGGTTTTTGCCCAGAGTTCTACTTTAAATACACTAACAAATTGAATCCAAACTCCAGCTAACTCATTTTATGGCAACAGCTTTTTAATCCTTTTGGGATAAATATTATACATAAATAAATAAAAGCAGATCATTGTAAGCACCCCTGTCAGTAGTAAATTGTTTGTCTCAATCCTCTAACTGCCATTTTTGTTGGGCAGCTTGGTCTATTAAACAAAGTTGAAAAATAACAGAATTATAGGCAAGATCTCCAGGGAAAAAAAGCATAAAAAGCAGCTCAGAATTGGTAAGCTGCAATATATTACATTTTGGTTTTGAGTTTAATATTTTTTAAGTGTTTTAATGATACATTTAAAGGACCAAAAAGCAGCAAATGAGAGACCTTCATTGGTAGGTTTATATACATTTTAATCATTTCTAATTAATAAATGTGGTAATTGTAAAGTGTAACAGCTCACTGTTTAAATGCAGTTAATGAGCGATACATTATAGTGTTGTCTGTAAATATTATTACTTGGAGATATTCTAGGAATACACTGATCCAGTGAACAGGACATGGAGTAAATTGTGTGGAGCGATCAGATGGTCTGAACGCTTCCCCGGGGATTTGGCTGCTGTCCAGAAATAACAGACATCTCAGCCAAGCCAAGCACAGACTTTAAAGGGAACATAACTGACTAAGAGGCTGTCAGATGTTTGCAGCGGGAACTGTCCGTGTCCTGTCTGCGCAGGTGCTGGAACCTACAATGTTACATGCTATATTTTACACATACTCAGGGCCTGAAAAAATGGTTTTATAAGTTGTATAAGAATAATAAATAAATTAGCAGGTTTTACTTTTTTTTCTTTTTTGAATCAGCACAATATGATTCAGAAAACAAGAGGAAGAGCTTAAAATAAAGCAAAGTCCCTCCTTACATCAGAGTCCCCATCTAAACAACCCTACATCTGGGACCCCATTAGATCCCCCTTCACATCATTGTACCTTCAGAGCCTCTTCTTACATAAATGACTCATCAGAGTCCCACTTACATCAGGGTCTCCATCAGAGTCCCCCTTACATCTGAGTCCCCTTCAGAGTCCCCCTTAAATCCATTAGGGTCCCCATCAGAGTCCATTTTACATCAGGGTCTTCATTAGAGCTCTGCCTTACATCAGTGTCCCCATTGGAGTCCCCCTTACATAAGGGTCCCTATCCGATTCCCCCTTACATCAAGGTCCCCATCAGATTCTCCCCTTACATCTGGGTCCCACCAGGGCCTACACTTACATCAGGGTCCCCCTTTTTTGTATCAGTGTCCCCTCTTATATCAGGGTCGCCATCAGAGCCCCCCTTTCATCTGGGTCCTCACCAAGGTCCTGCTTACATTAAGGTCTCAATCAGGGTCTCCTTTTACATCAGGGTTCCCATCATAGTCCCTCCTTATATCAGTGTCCCATCAGAGTCTCCTTTACATCAGATTCCCCCTTACATCTGGGTCCCCACCTGGGTCCCCACCTACATTAGGGTCTCAATCAGTGTCCCCCCTTGCATCAGTGATCCCATCATAGTCCCCCTCCTTATATCAGTGTCCCACCAGAGTCCCCCCTTACATCTGGATCCCCACCAGCATCTCCTTTTACATCAGGGTCCCCATCATAGTTCCCCCTTATATCAGTGTCCCATCAGATTCTCCCTTACATCAGAGTCTCCCTTACATCAGAGTCTCCCTTACATCAGAGTTCCCCTTCAGGGGTGGACTGACAATTCATGGGGCCCCCGGGCAATAGGGGCTCATGGGGCCCCTGTGTCCTCACCGACACCCAAAAAAGCCTATGAAAAAGCCAATTAAAGGTACCAGGGGCATCTCATGGGGCCCCCTACTGACCCCGGGCCCTCGGGCATTGCCCGAGTGCTCGAATAGTCAGTCCGCCCCTGTTCCCCTTACATCTGGGTCCCCACCAAGGTCCACAGTTTCATTGGGGTCCTCCTTACATCAGGGCCCCCATCAGAGCCCCCCTTACATCTGGGTTCCCACCAGGGTCTCCACTTACAACAGGATCCCTATTTGGAGTCCCCTTTCCTTGTATCAGTGTCCCAACAGAGTCCGCTTACCGGTACATTTGGATCCCCATTGGAGTCCCACTTATGTCAGGGTCTCCATTAGAGTTCCACCTACTTTACAATCTAAAGTCCCTAACTCACATTCATACATTCATATACTAGGGACAATTTAGAGAGGATCCAATTAACCTACCAGCATGTCTTTTGGAGCGTGGGAGGAAACCCACGCAGGCACAGGGAGAACATGCAAACTCCAGGCAGGTGGTGCCATGGCTGGGGTTTGAACCAACGACCCCTAGTACTGCCAGGCGGAAGTGCTAGCCATTTAGCCATTGTGATCCCCTTTTTTGTTTTTCTTAAAGCAGAACTCCAGCCTGGCACAATGTAAGTATGCATGCTGTATGTGATACCTGATCGGCCTCTGTGGAAGCAAAGAATCACCATAGTAGTCACCATAACTACAGTGATGACCGCGGTCTTCCAGAGGCTGTGCTGAGCGACTGCACTTCTGCATAGTAACCACTGGGGATCGCTCACATGGCACGGACACCATTTAGAGAGCACCTTGCATTTTTCTCAGTGATGCAAAGCATTCTCTGATTGGACAAAGTGAAGATTGTGATGTCCCCGCCCCTCCTCTCCACCTCGTCCAGTCAGAGAAAATACACGGCAATCTCTGAATGGCGGCTGTGCTAAGCATGTGACCCCTTGTGGTTACCATGGACCAGGGCAGCCACTTGGCACAGTGAGCCTGGATGTCCATGGCCTTCACTGTAGTAGTGGCGACTACTACATTGATTCTTCGCTTCCACAGAGACCAATCAGGTATCACATATGCAGTCACATGATCGGGAGCCCATGCTTCTGGCACCCGATCAGAAGCCTCCACCATAAACAGTCAGTGATAGCTTTGCCAATGTCCTGGGAGCGTGCAGCGAGCCCACCTTTCTTGTCTCCGCTAATATGTGTTACATGGTCAGCAAGAGGTGAAGCCAGCAAATGTAAACACGCACACACTACACCCCACCCAATAAAAACATTTAAAATATATAAACATGTTTACTAAAATCATATATCTTGTTAGATAGCGAGTAGTGTGTATACAATAATTTGCTTTGGATCTTTAAAGTGAGGTTATTTGATTTTTTCATATTAAAACCAAACTCTAGGATTTTTTTTTTTTCATATAAAATGGGCCCCTAGCTAGTGTACAAAAAAAAGCAGCTCTGGCAGCACTACTTACCTTAAACCCAGAGCTGTCTCAGCAGTACTTCTTTTTTGCCAGAAGATGTCCTCAGTCTTCTGATTTGATTAAAGTGTTACAAAACCCAGGACCTTGCATTCACTATATCTGGTCTCCCCCGGACCCTGCATTCACTATATCTGGTCTCCTTGGACACTGCATTCACTATATCTGGTCTCCTTGGACCCTGCATTCACTATATCTGGTCTCCTTGGACACTGCATTCACTATATCCGTTCTCCCCGGACCCTGCATTCACTATATCAGGTCCCCCCGGACCCTGCATTCACTATATTTGTTCTCCCCGGACCCTGCATTCACTATATCTGGTCACCCCGGACCCTGCATTCACTATATCTGGTCTCCCCGGACACTGCATTCACTATATCCGTTCTCCCCAGACCCTGCATTCACTATATCCATTCTCCCCGGACCCTGCATTCCATATATCTGGTCTCCCCGGACCCCGCATTCACTATATCTGGTCTCCCCGGACCCTGCATTCACTATATCTGGTCTCCCCGGACCCCGCATTCACTATATCCGTTCTCCCCGGACCCCTGCATTCACTATATCCTTTCTCCCCGAACCCTGCATTCACTATATCTGGTCTCCCCGGACCCTGCATTCACTATATCTGGTCTCCTCGGACACTGCATTCACTATATCCTTTCTCCCCGGACCCTGCATTCACTATATCCGTTCTCCCCGGACCCTGCATTCACTATATCTGGTCTCCCGGACCCTGCATTCACTATATCTGGTCTCCCCGGACCCTGCATTCACTATATCCGGTCTCCCCGACCTCGCATTCACTATATCCGGTCTCCCCAGACCCTGCATTCACTATATCCGCTCTCCCCGGACCCTGCATTCACTATATCGGTCTCCCCGGACCCTGCATTCACTATATCCAGTCTCCCCGGACCCTGCATTCACTATATCAGGTCTCCCCGGACCCTGTATTCACTATATCAGGTCTCCCCGGACCCTGCATTCACTATATCTAGTCTCCCTGGACCCTGTATTCATTATATCTGGTCTCGCCGGACCCTGCATTCATTATATCCGGTCTCCCTGGACCCTGAATTCACTATATCTGGTCTCCCTGGTCCCGGCACTCACTATATCTGGTCTCCCCGGACCCTGCATTCATTATATCTGGTCTCCCAGGACCCTGTATTCACTATATCTGGTCTCCCCAGACCCTGCATTCACTATATCTGGTCTCCCTGGACCCTGCATTCACTATATCTGGTCTCCCTGGATCCTGCATTCATTATATCTGGTCTCCCCGGACCCTGCATTCACTATATCTGGTCTCCCACAGTACAAAGAACATGGAAGTCCAACTATTGTAGTAAATATAAACTGCTAAATACCTTTTGTCATCAGCAGTATATAACAGTCTTGTGACTTCTATCAGTGTCCAGCTGAGCACTGCTTAACCACTTGCCGTCCCCCTAACTGTTTTTAAACGGCAGGACGGTGGCACTCCAGGGGCAGGTTGCCATTCATAAACGGCACCCACTATTTCTAGTTGTGCGTGCTCCCTGATGTCACTTGTGACATCATTGCTTACTATGTGTGAAATCTGTGAATGATCACAGAGGTCACATGGTACAAGGCTATTCACAACAGCCTTGTACCATGTGACAAGCTCTGACCAATCACAGCTCACACAGTATTTCTCAATTGCTGCAAGAATGCAGACAGAGAGAAAGAGAAATGATTGCTCTTACATCCTATATGGGTGTAAAAGCAATCACTGTAAAAAAAAAAAAAAAATCTTCATCACCCCCCACAAGTAGTACAGTGTCACCATGACACTGTACTGCTAGGTGACGGTATGTAAAAAAAAAAAAAAAAAAACATAAATAATAATATAAAGAAATAAAATAAAAATGTAAAAAAAAATGTTTAAAAATTATAATTTTTGGTTATAAACTAATTTGGCGTATTTTTTTTTTTTTTTTTTACTAAAAAGATAACGGAATAAATTTTTGGCTAAGATTTATGATGAAATATTATTTATTTGCAAAATGTTATAAGAAAAACACTTTTTTCAAAATTTTGGACTTTTTCATGTACATAGCAAAACAACTAAAAATCCCAGCGGTGAATAAATACCACCAAAAATAAAACTTTATCTGTCTCAAAAAAAATGGTAACAAATTCATATAGGTATAGTGTTGCATGACCGCGCAATTGTCATTCGAAGTGTGATTAGCACTGAAAGCCTAAAATTGCCCTGGACAGGGAAGAAGGGGTAAAAGTGTTCAGACAGGAAGTGATTTAAGCTTGTAGGAGGAGTTTTTATTCTCCTCTTATTGTCCTATGACAACTGCAGGACACCTGGCCCTCTCTCTGGGCAGTGCTGATTGGTCATGTGCTGATCCACATGCACCCTCCCAAAAACTAAAATTCTCTAGCAATAACATATCAAATTTCAGCATGTGTAGCTTGCCCCCAAGGCACTGTTTTCTTCAGCAATAGGATTGGGGATAGCTAAATGAATGGGAGGATCCAGAGAAGACAAAATCAAACAGCCTTTGTTACTCAATCACAAAGCAGTATGATTATACCCTTAGGTTCCACAGTGAGTATAACAATCATGCGTACTGCATATACAGTTTGCATAGAAGAAAAATATGTGAACCCCTTGGGATTTAACGTGGTGTTATGCATGAAGTGGGCATAAAATCGTGCATCTGAATGTCAACTAAGTCACAACAATAGAAGAACCACCAGTCTGCTGAACATAATACTACACCAAACAATAGATGTTGCCATGGTTTAATTTGCACATATCCATGGTATAACGATTCACATGCATGGGAGGAAAAAGTAATGTGAGGCCCTAGCTTAATGAACTACTTCCCATAGAGCTAATTGGAGCCAAGTGAGTGAGCCAACCTTGACTCCAATCAGTGTTGATGAATATTGGATGTGTTGCTAGACAAGCTGTCCTGGCCCGTTAAAAAAACACACGACCTGTTTTGGATTTACTGGTTTTCAGAAAGCACTGTCTGGAATGTGAACCATGCCTCGCAGAAAAGAGCTCTCAGAAGAAACTACGATCAAGAATTGTTGACATATGCATAGAAAGCTGGAAAGGGTTACAAAAGTATCGCCTAAAGCCTTGGATGTTTCATCGTGGTCCACGTTCAGACAGAAACCTGTCTACAAATGGATAAAGTTTTAGCACTGTTGCATATTCTCCCTAGGCGTGGTCGTACCCTGTAAAATGACTGCAAGAGCACAGCGCAGAAAGCTGCAATAGGAAAAGAAGAATCCCCAGATGTCGAGCTTAAAGACCTACAGAAAAATCTCTGGCCACATGCTAAACATTTTTGTTGACCACATCTACCAATAAGGCAAATAAACATTAAACAAGCATGGAGTACATGGGAGGACCACCACTGAGGAAGCCATTGCTGTCCAAAAAGAATATTGCAGCACGTGAAGTTGCAAAAGAGCACCTGCGGATGTTCCACCACACTAACTGTCAAAATATACGTGTGACAATGAAACCAAGATTGAATTGTTTGGGAAGAACACACAACAACTAAGTGTGAGAAACAAAGGCAAACAGCACAAACAGCACATACCAACATCAAACCCTCATCCCCACAGTAAAACATGGCGGAGGGAACATCATGGTTTGGGGCTCTGCTTTGCTGCCTCAGCGGCCTGACGGATTGTTTGTCATAGATAGGAAAATGAGATTCCAGAGTTTTATTCAAGACAGTTGGCCAGGAAAACGAACGACCATCTGTCCCGCCAACTGAAGCCTCCGCAGAGGATGGGTTGATGCGAACAGACCATGAACCCAAAGCAGACAAGTAATTCAACAAAACAAAGGCACGCAACAGCACAGAATAACTGCCTTCTGGAGTGGCCCAGTCAGAGTCCTGACGCTCAACCGTTTCATTGAAATGCTGTGTCAATGACCATAAGATAGAGTCGATTCACACCAGACATCCCAAGAAATCAGTGCTACACTGAAATAGATTTGTGAGAGGAGTGGTCCCAAAATTACTCCAGATCGTTGAGCAGGTCCTTCGATCAGCAACTACAGTAAACGTTTTGGTTGAGGTAAATTGCTGCCAAAAAGCGGGTCAAACAGTTATTAAGTTCCCAAAAAGTTCACATACTTTTTCTCCCCCGCACTGTGAAAGTGTACGGATTTAAGTGCAATTAAACCCATGGCAACATCTAATGTTTTGTGTAGTATAATGTTTCAGCAGACTGTGTGTTCCTTCGATGTTGTGACTTATATGACTTCAGCAACAGCACATTTATTATGCCCAAATCCATGCAAAACTCCACGTAATCCCAAGAGGTTCACCATACTTTTTCTGTTGCAATCTTGTACATACTGATTTTTTACTGTTGTGGGTTTAGTAACACTTTTAATGTCCATCATTATTCAACTAGAGAGGTACTGTGAATACTGCCATCACTGGAGAATATGAAGAAGAAAAGAAGAAAAGAAAAGAAGAAGGATGATGTGTACAAGAAAACTGATCACAGATACAAGAAAATAAAAATGACATATTCATAAACACTGAGGGAACTCGGAGTGGGATAGTGCTGCATATGGGGTCTACAAGGCCCAGATTGGGCTTTAAAACAATACATTCCGAGAACTAGACAACCATGCTGTACTGTCTTTAGCACAGTCCGCATGTGGTTAAAAAGACACCCAAAAAATATAAATAACAAAACATATTTTTGCTCCTTTGCTCCATCATTCCAACTTTAATGCAAGATATCTTCACAATTAGGTCTGTCTTACAGGGTCCTTAGTCTGTTGCCACATCATCATTAAACATGTTTCCCTCTCCCAGTTGTAAAAACCCCAAACCCCCAAACTGTGATTGGAAAAGCTTACTTCT